CTCAACCTCTCGGCGTACCCCGACTTTATGGAGCGGTCGGGGCCAAAGTACGAGTCCAAGACGGCGCTCGGCGAGCTCTATCGTCGGTCGCGCGCTGTCTCGGTGCGTCCGCAACCGACTGACAACGGCGTCGACTGGAGTGTGGTCGTGCCGGGGTACGAGGCCCACGTGCAAGACGCGCGCCATTGGTTTGTGCAGTACGCCCACGCGCTCTTCACGCTCTGTCAGCAGTTCGGGATCCAGACCGAGGTCGAGCTCATCTCGGGCTACATCCAGAAACTCTCGCGCACGGTGGGTCGGGCCGAGCGACTGGACCCGGCCGACGACGCGGTCGAGCGCATCCGAGTGGCCGTGCGGTTCGTGCAAGAGCACTATGCGCGTGTGTTTTGGCGCGGCCTCGAGTCCAAGGCACCGAGTGATCCGGCAGTGTTGCGCAAGGCGTCGGCGTGGTACTACGTGGCCAACACGTACGATGAAGGCACGACAGCGTACCGCAGCTTTGCATGGCTGGCGCTCGAGCCGCTGTGTGTGCTCTTAGACCAGCGCTAGCATCGTACAGTCTCATGTCTGTCGGAGGGAGACCATTCCTTCAGTTTTGCAATGACAAGTTGTTTGTTCATCATACTAGTAGTTATGCCGCAAACTGCGTTGTAGGTAGAGCATCGCAGCAAAGGCCAAACGAGACTGTCGGCAACGATAGAACTGCAGAGACGAGGCTGCAACCCTGTAACAAGGGTAGCGAGATCGTTGCCACACACTGGCGCGCCGACGAATCAAGTCGCTCGTGACGGAGAGAGGTTGCACGTACTGCTACGCGGCATCCCTATCCCTGGGCACTGGGTAATTTTTCAATCAATTTGATTGGAATAAAATGGGCATTTTTGAAACCACGTGCTGACACGCGCGGACATGCGGAATCACTTGAGCATTGCAGTGACCAAGGACCAGTCTGTCTCGAATTATGAAGGCTCAAAGCGCCGTGTGTTGGCTCGCGTTGGATATCTCGATGAATTATGTTTCAATAAAACAACAATTGTTGATGAGTTTCAAAACAAATACTTGCATACTTTGATAACCACGCATACAGCGTCTCTCGAGTCAGAACGCGCCGGCACAACGCGGTTTGTTGGCAGCTATTGAAACTAATCCCAGCATTTTCCAATATTTGTTTCATTTTGGTCATGCACCCGACGGCAGGAGTGATTTTTGCGAGCGTCCATCATTTTCCATGTGAGCACCAGCTTGTGACGAGGTCGTTGTGATCCGAAGGCCCTTTTACATGCTGTCATGATCACAAGACATCACGTGCGCTCAACCATGTGCATTCACGACTTAAGTCCAGTTGCAGCTACTACACTAGGTCGAGATGCACGGTTGCGGGATGCATCGCGGAGCTGCCTAGTTGCGGCTCGAGTGGCTGTCGCTGGACTTCGTGTTGCCCGTGACCTTGTCCTTGGCATCGCGCGCCTTGTCGGCCACCTTGCTCGACATGTCGGACGCCTTGTCTTTGAGCTCGTGCGCCTTGTCCGACGCCTTCTCGTGGAGCTCACTCGCCTTGTCGCTGGCCTTGTCGTGAAGCTCGTGGGCCTTGTCCGACACCTTGTCGCGCGCCGACGCCAACTTGGAGGACGCGCTCGAGCTCGTGTCGCTGGTCTTGCTGGTTTCCGACATACTGGGTGAATTGAATTCTGAGCTTGATGAACGCTCGGGTCGAATGGCAAGAAGAAAGAAGACGTCTGTCGACTCACCCGTTGCTGCGAGGATGGTCGAACGCAACGTCGGGCTGTCGGCACGTCCCAACAAACTGCCACCGTCAACGGCTCCGTGATCACACCGTTGAGAACGCCACTTCCCGTGCGGCTTTAACCGAGGCGAGCTGTCCGGCTGCCACGTCACGAGATCGTTTACTGTGCCTTGTCGCTGGTCACAGCCCTACGTAGTGCGACACCGTGCCGGCGCTTTGCATAGCTGGCACTCGAGCCGATGCTTGTCCTGTGCAACAAGGCACCTGGATGCATCGAGTATTGTTGGTTGTATCTACATGTTGTCATCTCTACTACGCACCACCTGGAGCGAGTCTTCTCGGGATTCCTTCGCCCCGTTCGAGGCGCCCCGTTTCTTGGGGTGCACCAAGATCACGCTGCCGATCGTCCTGCACCGCGACTTCCAGTCGCTGACGCTGCCTCAGTTGCTGGCGTCTCCCGAC